GTTCAGAACCGTCTGGGTTCAGAACCGTCTGGGCTCAGAACCGTTCAGAACCGTCTGGGTTCAGAACCGTTCAGAACCGTCTGGGTTCAGAACCGTCTGGGCTCTGAACCGTCTGGGTTCAGAACCGTCTGGGTTCAGAACCGTCTGGGCTCAGAACCGTTCAGAACCGTCTGGGTTCAGAACCGTCTGGGCTCTGAACCGTCTGGGCTCTGAACCGTTCAGAACCGTCTGGGTTCAGAACCGTCTGGGCTCAAAACCGTCTGGGCTCAGAACCGTTCAGAACCGTCTGGGCTCAGAACCGTCTGGGTTCAGAACCGTCTGGGCTCTGAACCGTCTGGCTCAGAACCGTTCAGAACCGTCTGGGTTCAGAACCGTCTGGGCTCAGAACCGTCTGGGTTCAGAACCGTTCAGAACCGTCTGGGTTCAGAACCGTCTGGGTTCAGAACCGTTCAGAACCGTCTGGGCTCAGAACCGTCTGGGCTCAGAACCGTCTGGGCTCAGAACCGTTCAGAACCGTCTGGGTTCAGAACAGTCTGGGCTCTGAACCGTGTGGGTTCAGAACCGTCTGGGTTCAGAACCGTCTGGGCTCAGAACCGTCTGGGTTCAGAACCGTCTGGGTTCAGAACAGTCTGGGCTCTGAACCGTGTGGGTTCAGAACCGTCTGGGTTCAGAACCGTCTGGGCTCAGAACCGTCTGGGTTCAGAACCGTCTGGGTTCAGAACCGTCTGGGCTCAGAACCGTCTGGGTTCAGAACCGTCTGGGTTCAGAACCGTCTGGACTCAGAACCGTTCAGAACCGTCTGGGTTCAGAACTGTCTGGGCTCTGAACCGTCTGGGTTCAGAACCGTCTGGGCTCAGAACCGTCTGGGTTCAGAACCGTCTGGGTTCAGAACCGTCTGGGCTCAGAACCGTCTGGGTTCAGAACCGTCTGGGTTCAGAACCGTCTGGACTCAGAACCGTTCAGAACCGTCTGGGTTCAGAACTGTCTGGGCTCTGAACCGTCTGGGTTCAGAACCGTCTGGGCTCAGAACCGTCTGGGTTCAGAACCGTCTGGGTTCAGAACCGTCTGGGCTCAGAACCGTCTGGGTTCAGAACCGTCTGGGTTCAGAACCGTCTGGACTCAGAACCGTTCAGAACCGTCTGGGTTCAGAACTGTCTGGGCTCTGAACCGTCTGGGTTCAGAACCGTCTGGGTTCAGAACTGTCTGGGCTCTGAACCGTCTGGGTTCAGAACCGTCTGGGTTCAGAACCGTCTGGGTTCAGAACCGTCTGGGCTCTGAACCGTCTGGGCTCAGAACCGTTCAGAACCGTCTGGGTTCAGAACCGTCTGGGCTCAGAACCGTTCAGAACCGTCTGGGCTCAGAACCGTCTGGGTTCAGAACCGTCTGGGTTCAGAACCGTCTGGGCTCAGAACCGTCTGGGCTCAGAAAAGTTCAGAACCGTCTGGGTTCAGAACCGTCTGGGTTCAGAACCGTCTGGGCTCAGAACCGTCTGGGCTCAGAACCGTTCAGAACCGTCTGGGCTCAGAACCGTCTGGGCTCAGAACCGTCTGGGTTCAGAACCGTCTGGGCTCAGAACCGTCTGGGCTCTGAACCGTCTGGGCTCAGAAACCGTTCAGAACCGTCTGGGCTCAGAACCGTCTGTGTTCAGAACCGTCTGTGTTCAGAACCGTCTGGGCTCAGAACCGTTCAGAACCGTCTGGGCTCAGAACCATCTGGGTTCAGAACCGTTCAGAACCGTCTGGGCTCAGAACCGTTCAGAACCGTCTGGGTTCAGAACCGTCTGGGCTCAGAACCGTTCAGAACCGTCTGTGTTCAGAACCGTCTGTGTTCAGAACCGTTCAGAACCGTCTGGGCTCAGAACCGTCTGGGCTCAGAACCGTCTGGGTTCAGAACCGTCTGGGTTCAGAACCGTCTGGGCTCAGAACCGTCTGGGCTCTGAACCGTCTGGGTTCAGAACCGTCTGGGCTCAGAAACCGTCTGGGTTCAGAACCGTCTGGGCTCAGAACCGTTCAGAACCGTCTGGGTTCAGAACCGTCTGGGCTCAGAACCGTCTGGGTTCAGAACCGTCTGGGTTCAGAACCGTCTGGGCTCTGAACCGTCTGGGCTCAGAACCGTTCAGAACCGTCTGGGTTCAGAACCGTCTGGGCTCTGAACCGTCTGGGTTCAGAACCGTCTGGGTTCAGAACCGTCTGGGCTCTGAACCGTCTGGGCTCTGAACCGTTCAGAACCGTCTGGGTTCAGAACCGTCTGGGTTCAGAACCGTCTGGGCTCAAAACCGTTCAGAACCGTCTGGGCTCAGAACCGTTCAGAACCGTCTGGGATCAGAACCGTCTGGGATCAGAACCGTCTGGGTTCAGAACCGTCTGGGCTCTGAACCGTCTGGGCTCAGAACCGTTCAAAACCGTCTGGGTTCAGAACCGTCTGGGTTCAGAACCGTCTGGGCTCAAAACCGTTCAGAACCGTCTGGGCTCAGAACCGTTCAGAACCGTCTGGGATCAGAACCGTCTGGGTTCAGAACCGTCTGGGTTCAGAACCGTCTGGGCTCAGAACCGTCTGGGTTCAGAACCGTCTGGGCTCTGAACCGTCTGGGCTCAGAACCGTTCAGAACCGTCTGGTTCAGAACCGTCTGGGCTCAGAACCGTCTGGGTTCAGAACCGTTCAGAACCGTCTGGGCTCAGAACCGTCTGGGTTCAGAACCGTCTGGGCTCAGAACCGTCCAGAACCGTCTGTGTTCAGAACCATCTGGGCTCAGAACCGTCTGGGTTCAGAACCGTTCAGAACCGTCTGGGCTCAGAACCGTCTGGGCTCAGAACCGTCTGGGTTCAGAACCGTCTGGGTTCAGAACCGTTCAGAACCGTCTGGGTTCAGAACCGTCTGGGCTCAGAACCGTTCAGAACCGTCTGGGTTCAGAACCGTCTGGGTTCAGAACCGTTCAGAACCGTCTGGGCTCAGAACCGTCTGGGCTCAGAACCGTCTGGGCTCAGAACCGTTCAGAACCGTCTGGGTTCAGAACAGTCTGGGCTCTGAACCGTGTGGGTTCAGAACCGTCTGGGTTCAGAACCGTATGGGCTCAGAACCGTCTGGGTTCAGAACCATCTGGGTTCAGAACCGTCTGGGCTCAGAACCGTCTGGGTTCAGAACCGTCTGGGTTCAGAACTGTCTGGGTTCAGAACCGTAAGGGTTCAGAACCGTCTGGGCTCAGAACCGTTCAGAACCGTCTGGGCTCAGAACCGTCTGGGTTCAGAACCGTCTGGGCTCAGAACCGTCTGGGTTCAGAACCGTTCAGAACCGTCTGGGCTCAGAACCGTCTGGGTTCAGAACTGTCTGGGTTCAGAACCGTAAGGGTTCAGAACCGTCTGGGCTCAGAACCGTTCAGAACCGTCTGGGCTCAGAACCGTCTGGGTTCAGAACCGTCTGGGCTCAGAACCGTCTGGGTTCAGAACCGTTCAGAACCGTCTGGGCTCTGAACCGTCTGGGTTCAGAACCGTTCAGAACCGTCTGGGCTCAGAACCGTCTGGGTTCAGAACCGTCTGGGCTCTGAACCGTCTGGGTTCAGAACCGTTCAGAACCGTCTGGGCTCAGAACCGTCTGGGCTCAGAACCGTTCAGAACCGTCTGGGTTCAGAACCGTCTGGGCTCAGAACCGTCTGGGTTCAGAACCGTTCAGAACCGTCTGGGCTCAGAACCGTCTGGGTTCAGAACCGTCTGGGTTCAGAACCGTCTGGGTTCAGAACCGTCTGGGTTCAGAACCGTCTGGGCTCTGAACCGTCTGGGTTCAGAACCGTCTGGGTTCAGAACCGTTCAGAACCGTCTGGGTTCAGAACCGTCTGGGTTCAGAACCGTTCAGAACCGTCTGGGCTCAGAACCGTCTGGGCTCAGAACCGTCTGGGTTCAGAACCGTCTGGGCTCAGAACCGTTCAGAACCGTCTGGGTTCAGAACCGTCTGGGCTCTGAACCGTCTGGGCTCAGAACCGTCTGGGTTCAGAATCGTCTGGACTCAGAACCGTTCAGAACCGTCTGGGTTCAGAACCGTCTGGGCTCTGAACCGTTTAGAACCGTCTGGGTTCAGAACCGTCTGGGCTCAGAACCGTTCAGAACCGTCTGGGTTCAGAACCGTCTGGGCTCAGAACCGTTCAGAACCGTCTGGGTTCAGAACCGTCTGGGCTCAGAACCGTTCAGTACCGTCTGGGTTCAGAACCGTCTGGGCTCAGAACCGTCTGGGTTCAGAACCGTCTGGGTTCAGAACCGTCTGGACTCAAACCGTTCAGAACCGTCTGGGTTCAGAACTGTCTGGGCTCTGAACCGTCTGGGTTCAGAACCGTCTGGGTTCAGAACCGTCTGGGCTCAGAACCGTCTGGACTCAGAACCGTTCAGAACCGTCTGGGTTCAGAACCGTCTGGGTTCAGAACCGTCTGGGCTCAGAACCGTCTGGGTTCAGAACCGTCTGGGTTCAGAACCGTCTTGGTTCAGAACCGTCTGGGTTCAGAACCGTTCAGAACCGTCTGGGCTCAAAACCGTCTGGGCTCAGAACCGTCTGGGTTCAGAACCGTCTGGGTTCAGAACCGTCTGGGCTCAGAACCGTCTGGACTCAGAACCGTTCAGAACCGTCTGGGCTCAGAACCGTCTGGTTTCAGAACCGTCTGGGTTCAGAACCGTCTGGGTTCAGAACCGTCTGGGTTCAGGAATTTTTAGCAACAGATGTTTATTTTCTCTCCAACGTCAACAAGTTAAACTGGAATATTTTCTGTTTTTACTACTAGAGTTAAAGATCTGCAATGAACTCTGCATGAACCTGAGCCTCTTCCTCCTCCTCCTGTTTTCTGTTGTGTTATCGTTTTAAGATCCAGCTGAACTCTGCATGTTTTCATTTCTGTTCGTCTGTTTTCTACATTATTTTCTTTCATTCATAGTTTTGTTCATCTATTTCGTCTGCAGGTTTCCTGACCTCTACATGACCTCCAGCAAGTCATGAAGAGGTCAGCAGCGTGTGCGGCTGCTGACCTTGTGGATCCGCGGCGCTCTGGGCTCGGTTCCCACATCGATCACGTAGATCCGGGAGGAGATGAGCGACGGCAGGATGAGCCGGTTCCGGGTTCGGGTCGGGTCGCCGAAGCAGCTGCTGCAGGCGTTCCAACCGGAGTGATGCAGCTCATCGTTCAGGTTCGGCATCGGCAGGCGGTGGATCACCTGCAGACGGGTCGGGTTAGATACTCTGGACCCAACAGAACCATCAGAAGAAACAGAACCATAGGAAACAACAGAACCATCAGAACCAACAGAACCATCGGAACCAACAGAACCAACAGAACCATCAGAACCAACAGAACCATCAGAACCAACAGAACAATCGGATCCAAAAGAACCATCAGAACCAACAGAACCAAACAGAACCATCGGAACCAACAGAACCAAACAGAACCAACAGAACCATCAGAACCATCAGAACCAACAGAACCAAACAGAACCATTGGAACCAACAGAACCATCAGAACCAACAGAACCATCAGAACCAAACAGAACCAACAGAAACAACAGAACCATCAGAACCAACAGAAACAACAGAACCAACAGAACCAAACAGAACCAACAGAACCATCGGAACCAACAGAACCATCAGAAACAACAGAACCAACAGAACCAACAGAACCATCGGAACCAACAGAACCATCAGAACCAACAGAACCATCAGAACCAAACAGAACCAACAGAAACAACAGAACCATCAGAACCAACAGAAACAACAGAACCAACAGAACCATACAGAACCAACAGAACCATCGGAACCAACAGAACCATCAGAAACAACAGAACCAACAGAACCATCGGAACCAACAGAACCAACGGAACCATCAGAACCAACAGAACCAAACAGAACCAACAGAACCGCCAGAACCAAACAGAACCAACAGAACCAACGGAACCAACAGAACCAAACAGAACCATCGGAACCAACAGAACCATCAGAACCATCAGAACCAACAGAACCAAACAGAACCATCAGAACCAACGGAACAATCGGATCCAAAAGAACCATCAGAACCAACAGAACCAAACAGAACCAACAGAACCATCGGAACCAACAGAACCAACGGAACCATCAGAACCAACAGAACCAAACAGAACCAACAGAACCGCCAGAACCAAACAGAACCAACAGAACCAACGGAACCAACAGAACCATCGGAACCATCAGAACCATCGGAACCAACAGAACCATCAGAACCAACAGAACCAACAGAACCATCAGAACCAACAGAACCATCGGAACCAACAGAACCAACAGAACCATCAGAACCAACAGAACCATCAGAACCAACGGAACAATCGGATCCAAAAGAACCATCAGAACCAACAGAACCAAACAGAACCATCGGAACCAACAGAACCAAACAGAACCAACAGAACCATCAGAACCATCAGAACCAACAGAACCAAACAGAACCATCGGAACCAACAGAACCATCAGAACCAACAGAAACAACAGAACCATCAGAACCAACAGAAACAACAGAACCAAACAGAACCAACAGAACCATCAGAACCAACAGAACCAACAGAACCAACAGAACCATCGGAACCAACAGAACCAACGGAACCATCAGAACCAACAGAACCAACAGAACCATCAGAACCAACAGAACCATCAGAACCAAACAGAACCAACAGAAACAACAGAACCATCAGAACCAACAGAACCAACAGAACCAACAGAACCAAACAGAACCAACAGAACCATCGGAACCAACAGAACCAACGGAACCATCAGAACCAACAGAACCAAACAGAACCAACAGAACCGCCAGAACCAAACAGAACCAACAGAACCAACGGAACCAACAGAACCAAACAGAACCATCGGAACCAACAGAACCATCAGAACCATCAGAACCAACAGAACCAAACAGAACCATCAGAACCAACGGAACAATCGGATCCAAAAGAACCATCAGAACCAACAGAACCATCGGAACCATCGGATCCAAAAGAACCATCAGAACCAACAGAACCAAACAGAACCAACAGAACCATCGGAACCAACAGAACCAACGGAACCATCAGAACCAACAGAACCAAACAGAACCAACAGAACCACCAGAACCAAACAGAACCAACAGAACCAACGGAACCAACAGAACCATCGGAACCATCAGAACCATCGGAACCAACAGAACCATCAGAACCAACAGAACCAACAGAACCATCAGAACCAACAGAACCATCGGATCCAAAAGAACCATCAGAACCATCAGAACCAAACAGAACCATCAGAACCAACAGAACCATCAGAACCAACAGAACCAACAGAACCATCAGAACCATCGGAACCATTGGAACCAACAGAACCATCAGAACCATCGGAACCAACAGAACCATCAGAACCAACAGAACCAACAGAACCATCAGAACCAACAGAACCAACAGAACCAACAGAACCATCGGAACCAACAGAACCATCAGAACCATCAGAACCAACAGAATCATCGGAACCAACAGAACCATCAGAACCATCGGAACTAACAGAACCAACAGAACCAACAGAATCATCAGAACCAACAGAACTAACAGAACCATCAGAACCATCGGAACCATTGGAACCAACAGAACCATCAGAACCATCGGAACCAACAGAACCATCAGAACCAACAGAACCAACAGAACCATCAGAACCAACAGAACCAACAGAACCAACAGAACCATCGGAACCAACAGAACCATCAGAACCATCAGAACCAACAGAACCATCGGAACCAACAGAACCATCAGAACCATCAGAACCAACAGAACCAAACAGAACCAACAGAACCATCGGAACCAACAGAACCAACAGAACCATCGGAACCAACAGAACCATCAGAACCATCGGAACTAACAGAACCATCAGAACCAAACAGAACCAACAGAACCAACAGAACCAACAGAACCATCGGAACCAACAGAACCATCAGAACCAACAGAACCATCAGAACCAACAGAACCATCAGAAACAACAGAACCATCAGAACCAACAGAACCATCAGAACCATCAGAACCAACAGAACCAAACAGAACCATCAGAACCAACGGAACAATCGGATCCAAAAGAACCATCAGAACCAACAGAACCATCGGAACCATCGGATCCAAAAGAACCATCAGAACCAACAGAACCAAACAGAACCAACAGAACCATCGGAACCAACAGAACCAACGGAACCATCAGAACCAACAGAACCAAACAGAACCAACAGAACCGCCAGAACCAAACAGAACCAACAGAACCAACGGAACCAACAGAACCATCGGAACCATCAGAACCATCGGAACCAACAGAACCATCAGAACCAACAGAACCAACAGAACCATCAGAACCAACAGAACCATCGGATCCAAAAGAACCATCAGAACCATCAGAACCAAACAGAACCAACAGAACCAACGGAACCAACAGAACCATCGGAACCATCAGAACCATCGGAACCATCAGAACCATCAGAACCAACAGAACCATCAGAAACAACAGAACTAACAGAACCATCAGAACCATCGGAACTAACAGAACCATCAGAACCAACCATCAGAACCAACAGAACCAACAGAACCAACAGAACCATCAGAACCATCGGATCCAAAAGAACCATCAGAACCATCAGAACCAAACAGAACCATCAGAACCAACAGAACCATCGGATCCAAAAGAACCATCAGAACCATCAGAACCAAACAGAACCATCAGAACCAACAGAACCATCAGAACCAACAGAACCAACAGAACCATCAGAACCATCGGAACCATTGGAACCAACAGAACCATCAGAACCATCGGAACCAACAGAACCATCAGAACCAACAGAACCAACAGAACCATCAGAACCAACAGAACCAACAGAACCAACAGAACCATCGGAACCAACAGAACCATCAGAACCATCAGAACCAACAGAACCAAACAGAACCAACAGAACCATCGGAACCAACAGAACCAACAGAACCATCGGAACCAACAGAACCATCAGAACCATCGGAACTAACAGAACCATCAGAACCAAACAGAACCAACAGAACCAACAGAACCAACAGAACCATCGGAACCAACAGAACCATCAGAACCAACAGAACCATCAGAACCAACAGAACCATCAGAAACAACAGAACCATCAGAACCAACAGAACCATCAGAACCATCAGAACCAACAGAACCAAACAGAACCAACAGAACCATCAGAACCATTGGAACCAACAGAACCATCAGAAACAACAGAACCATCAGAACCAACAGAACCAAACAGAACCAACAGAACCATCGGAACCAACAGAACCATCAGAACCAAACAGTACCATCAGAACCATCAGAACCAACAGAACCATCAGAACCAACGGAACCATCAGAACCAACAGAACCAACAGAACCATCGGATCCAAAAGAACCATCAGAACCATCAGAACCATCAGAACCATCAGAACCAAACAGAACCATCAGAACCAACGGAACCATCAGAACCAACAGAACCATCAGAACCAACGGAACCAACAGAACCATCGGAACCAACAGAACCATCAGAACCAACAGAACCATCAGAACCATCAGAACCAAACAGAACCATCGGAACCAACAGAACCATCAGAACCAAACAGAACCAACAGAACCATCAGAACCATTGGAACCAACAGAACCAAACAGAACCAACAGAACCATCAGAAACAACAGAACCATTGGAACCAACAGAACCAAACAGAACCAACAGAACCATCAGAACCATCGGAACTAACAGAACCATCAGAACCAAACAGAACCATCAAAAGCATTGGAACCGACCAAAACAAACAGAACCAACAGGAGTTTTGGGAGAAAAACAGAATCAGTGAGAAGACACAAGGCAGACGAGTCCATCAGAACTGGACTGCTGGACTTGTGGTTCTGGTCGGGTTCTACCTGGCAGTACGTGGGCGACTCCGGGTCGACGTCCACTGTGGCCAGGTAGTCGGGCTTCTGGACCGCGGTGCTGCGGTAGATACAGGGCAGGTAGACGATCCGCTCACGGGGGCCTGCGGGCAGAACCAGAACCCGTACAGGTATTTTTCCTATTGAACTTTCTGGTTTGACTGTTTGGTTTGTTTGGACTTCCAGTACCAGAACCAGAGTGCTGACCTGGTTCTGGCCCGGTCCAGACGTCCACTCACCCTTCATGGCGTCCAGCGGGCTGCGGTATCCGGGTCCACATCCTGAACATGCGGCTGAAACACACAAACGGATCCAGAAGCATAACCAGACGCTGCAGCACAGGCCTCTACTGGGTTAAGATCAATGATTAACATGAACTCTACTGAGCATGCTCAGAAGGCCCAGAAACAACCACAGGAGATACAAACGGAGTCAGAATCTGAACAGAACCGGCTTCTTCGGGCCTCAGGCGGCTCTCACAAAAGGGTTATATACACACACACACACACACACACACACACACACACACACACACACACACACACACAAACACACACAGGCACACAACTTCCCCCAAAACACATCCTGGCTTTTCTTCATGGAAAACTACCAAGGTCCAGATTCCCTGGCTCAGTCTGGAAAACACACACACACACTCACACACACACACAGACACACACACACACACACACACACAGACACACACACAGAGGTCCAGAACCAGGAATGTGAACCCTCCTGGTGGCTTGAAGCTGAAATTCCCCAGCTTCCTTGAAGGAGGCATGCTGATGTTTTACAGCTAGACGATTATTGATTATTGATCAGATATTTTGTGGTTAACAGCTGCAGCAGATCAGGTGAGTAGCAGCCAATCAGAACGCAGCATGCTGAACCCAACTCACCCATGTTGGATCTTCTGGTTCCGATTCCTGCGGTTCTGACCCGTCTGCTGGTCTGTGCAGGGTCTGGGTGCTGTGGAGCCAGTGGGCGGAGCTGGCGCGTTGAGTAGCAGGAAGCAGCCAATCAGAAAGGAGGGGTGGGGCATAGAGGCCTTTGGCTCTCCAGCTGCTGGAACAGCGCGCCCCCCGCAGGCTGACAGAGGAACTGCCTGTAAGGCAGGCTGAGGAAGGAGCCTGGTACCGCAGGAGGTCCGGTTTGAGGTTCTGCTTCACATCCGGTCAGAACTTCTACATGAGCAGAGCAAACAACAGCATAAATATCCATAAACAGCAATAAGAGGTCAGACTGAAATGATGAACAGAAACGGATCCAATCACTGATCATGTGATCACCGATCGATCAGTTATTCTAACTAAATGAAATCAGGTTGCTATGGCAACCACCAACTTATTGACTACACAAAATAAATTCAAAGAAGAAATAAATTTTGGACAAACTTCGCATCGACTGGAACCATAAAATTAATATCATGAAGTTGATTTAAAGCAATAATTTCATTCAAAAAGTGAAACTTGTATATCACATATACTGTATATATATTTGTTACACAGGCTGATATATTGCTAATGTTTTTTTCTTTTAATGTTGATAATTAGAAGTGACAACTCATGAAAACCCCAAATTCAGAAAGTTCAGAGTTAATGAAGACCAAAGCAAAACAAGGAGTTTTAGAAATGTTAGCCAACAGGAAGGTGTGACGATGTTCAGCTCAGTGCTGGTTTACTGCGGCCATGCTTCTTTCCAAAGAATCTGATCTGGTTCTGTTCACTTCGCTGCTTGTGACTCAATGTTGGCGGAAAAAAGCTGAATCCGTGAAAGGATTTTCAAAATAAAAGATCCTCCAGACTCAAATGATACAGAAACAAAAATATTTCATTATTTCTTGGCCCGGTACCAATTGGTCTGTGGACTGGTACCGGGCCACAGCCTGGGTTTGGGAACTGCTGTTGTACACCATATTGAAATCTCCTCCCAATATGAAATTGTTTGTGGAATATTTCTGAGATGGTTCTTTTAATGACTAGTTAATTCAGACAATAAGGACTTATTCTGAGCATCACTGTTGTAACCATAGACGTTACAGAGAATCAGAAAACTAGTTTCCATTTTGAGTTCACAAATAATCCAGTGGCCCCGGTTGTCTTTTCTGTGAGTTTCTAGTTTATTCTGGAAATTTTGAAACAGTAAAGCAACACCAGCAGATTTATTGGAACCATGAGACAAAATTATTTCCCCCCCATTGATTAGACCAAAGTTCTCATCTGCCTCAATGGAGTGTTTCTTGTAAAAACATGCAGTTAGCTTTTGCATTTTTACAAAAAAGAAATATTGATTTTCTTTTAACACCATCTCTCAAACCCGTAACATTTAAAGACACAAAGTTAAAATGAGAAAAAAACACAGAAAAGTGAGAAGGTTACTGAACGTCTGGTGTTCAGGAAAAGGTAAGAATGAAGCACCGACTCCCTTCCACTGACCTCTGACCAGATAAGGAGATCAGAATGTATTCATCAAACCTGTGAATGCTTAACTTTACCTTATTTATTAATCTGGCCTATTTAATCTAAAAAAAACTTTAGAAATAAAGAATACATTTTCCTTGAAGCATAAAGCAGCAGCTTGTGTCTGTGCAGTGGTGATTCTGCATTACCCTCAGGATGTCCAGTCGGGGGTCCTGGCCTAACCCTAACCCAGGATGTGTCCTGGCAGGACGTGTTTCCTCCGGTTCTGGCTGGATCCATTTTGGGCCGGACTGCAGCTCTTGTTTGCAGGATGCCAGCTCCTTTTGGTGAGTTTCCAGAAGCATCTCGGTGGTTCTCAACCCAACCAGTAACGAGGCCCGGTGCAGCGCCATCTTGGCTAAGATGTCAATGACTTCTTTGCCAGTATCTTGGTTATTTTTTTCTTTAAAGTCTGAATTTTTAAATTCCAACAGCGTTTCTATCGTTCTAGTTCCCACAATCTTTCCTTCATCTCCGCAGGAGCCTCTTTCCAGGCCAGATAGTTAAGTTTTCAGTCTCTCATATCAGCTGCGTTCACTTTGGCTAGCTTAGAGACGTTAGCAACCGCCATCATGTTGTCACCACCACCCCGCGCCACTAGAGGCAGTATCAGGCCCGAAAAGATGCGACTGAGGAGATTCAGAAGCTTACTGTTAAAACTTCACTAAGTAAAAAAATAGATAAAAGTTCAAATACAAGCTGAGAGTGAAATCCTTCCTAAAGATGAAAATATATCACAGATTTCAAAGGAAAACAGAAATGGGAGCATAATATAGGAAATAGCGCCCCCTTCACTTCCGGAGTGCAACAGTCCCATTTCCATATCAGGACTGCCAGCGGTCCGTCGCCCTTCCTGTTAGCTGCAGAGGTGAACTTGGTTTGGGACACGTTTGATACTTTACATGAAAATTTATATTAGCTTTAATGAACATCAGATTCATTTCATCCCACTAACAGAATCTGTAACATCTAAGTAGCATATCCTGTTTGATAAAGCACAAATGATCATTAGTCTAATAATATGAAAATATCATTTTAAAGTACAACGTGACATGTTGCTGTTGATCTTTATCTGCCGAGTTCTCCAGAACCCGATTCTGATTCAGAGATCCAGGAAGAACTGGACTGAACCTGGAGAAAAACCCCTGGAAAATCCCGGAAATGTTTGTTTTCAGGCACAGAGAACAGGCAGCTCACCTGGACAGGTTGCTTTATTCATCATCGTGTTCTGACAACCGAAACAGGAAGTGTTCATGGTCATCTACAAAAATAACAGCAGCCAATCAGCTTCCAGGGCCACAGTGACATCATCAAAACAAAACCAGACATTAATGTTGCTCTTCCTCCTGAAGGTGAGGAAGAAGAGTAATCTTCTCTAACGCAAACATTGATCAATTCTGCAGCTACTTCCTGGTAGCAGTAGGCTTCTTCCAATCTGATGCTGCTGATCTAATTAATGATAGGCTGGAAAGAGAGTACTAGGTAGAGCTAGCTTTGGGTAGGCTAACAACTAGCTTGCCTAGGCTGGTTTCCTACTTCATCTGGCCTTAGCTTATCCAGTATGGATAAGCTAACCGTAGCCTTGGATACCCTGGTGAAAGCTCTGTTTAGCATTAGCTCTAGCTAAGTAGCTTGCGTAATCTAGACTTGAACCTTTTTCACCAGACATGGATAAAAACGTTTCTCATGCATTATCTGTAAACAGCATCCATTAAATGTTACTTACACTTGCGTCATGTTTTGACAGTTTATGGTAATAACAAACAAGCAACTTGCTAGCCTTTTTAATGCTAATGCTAGCCTAGCAAATGCTAATGGACAGCAGATGAAGTAGGAAACCAGCCTAGGCATGCTAGTTGTTAGCCTACCCAAAGCTAGCTCTACCTAGTACTCTCCTTCCAGCCTATCATTGATTAGACCAGCAGCATCAGATTGGAAGTAGCCTACTGCTACCAGGAAGTAGCCTACTGCTACCAGGAAGTAGCTGCAGCTGGGTGGAGAATCGCCTGCCGCTGAAACGGCGCCACTCATCTGTTCATCTAAACCTGGTTCTGAAGGTTCTAATGACCCATTTTGATCTGAGCAGCTCAGAGTGTAAACATTCATCGTGATCTGTTCATTAGAACCTCAGGTGTGACACCTGGACCGTCTGATTGACGGTCCAGGTGTCACACCGCCCGTCGGGCCGCGTGTGCCGCGGCCCGACCCGCCCGGCACACGCCCAGCCGGTGGCGCAGCAGGAAGCCGACGGCCCAGTCATAGGAGATGCGGAAGGCGTCGCCAAACGCCTTCTTTTTCTTCAAGATGGACGCCTTGTTGAACAGGTTGCTCTCGGTGAGCGGCAGCTGCTGCTCCCGCAGGAAGCGATGCTGAAGCCCCGCCCCTTTGTTTCTGATTGGATGATGGTGAACCTCAGTAATTTTTAAAGAAAAGTTCATTAAAAACATATCGGGCAGAGCCCAGTTCTGGTTCCGGTCTAACTGACCAGCAGGCAGAAGCAGTTCCTCTGTCGGCCACTGGGGGGAACACGGGCGTTCTGAGTCACAATCGGGTCAGAACCTCAGCTGTCTTCCTCAGTTCTGGCGCCGTCGCTCCGGATCTTCCACTCGTCTCCGACTTCCTCCCCGATCTCGATCCGCGTCTCTCGTCTCTCTCTGCTCGCCTCCTTCGTCTCCTCCTGTCTCTCCTGTCCCTCCTCTTCCTCGCTGTCCTCTAGTGTCTCCCCTGCCAAGCTGTCCTCTGCGCCCGTCTCCATGTCCTCCTGTCCTCCTCTTGTCTCATGTGCAGACTCCTCCGTCTCCTCCCTGTCCTCTGTCTCCCTCCTGTCCTCCATGTCCTTGCTGCCCTCCGTCTCCTTCCTGTCCTCCGTCTTGTCCTCTTTGGACAGTGGTTTCTCCTTGGATGTCTCCTGTCCCTCTCCATCCTGGTCTTCATCCTCCTGAAGTTTGGTTCTGTTTCTGCTGCGTCTGGACCCAGGAGGATGCATGTCAGGGTTCTGATGAGTTCTGCCTGCTGGTCCTGTGGTTCCGACCCGGTTTGATCTTGCAGGAGTCCGGTCAGCTGGAAGGACGTGCTCCAGGTGTGCGGCAGGCGGCGCAGGTGCGTCATGGCGTCCAGCATCCAGTCCACCAGCATCCGGGTCACGATGTCCTGCGGCTTGTGGGTCGGGTCGTCCAGCTCTGGTTCCGGTCCGGTGGCGAACCGGGCCCATCGGGCCAGCAGGAAGCGCTGCAGCGCCGGCTTCAGGCAGACGTCCAGCGGCTGCAGGCAGAAGGAGCATCCTGCGGGGATGACGGCCGGCAGGCAGCGGGCCGCGCTCAGCGCTGTCAGGAACGGGTCGGCCAGGTGTTCCCGGTGCCGGTCCAGAACCAGCAGGGACTTCTTGGAAGGAGCCGGGCCAGACAGGTGTGGCAGCCAGACCTTGGTGGTCCAGAGGTCCACGGCGTCTTCGGCGCTCAGGCCGTCCGTCCGGACCTCCAGCAGGGCGAGGTCGGGCGGCGGCGCCTGTGGGACCGGCCGGCTGAGCAGAAGCAGCGTCGGCAGCACGGCGCCATCGGCCAGAACCGCCAGGTAGACCGTGAGCAGCGGCGTGGACCCGGACAGCTCCAGCGCCTCGTGGCGCCTGGACCGGTCCTGGACCAGCTGGAAGTCCACAAAGAGGCAGAGCTCATCCATGGCGGCCACGGCGCGCCGCGCCAGCCGGTGGGACCGCACCGCCCGCCGCG